ATGGATGGATGGATGGATGGATGGATGGATGGATGGACAGTGTACTTTAACCAACACAAAGAACATCTGTTTGTTTTATGGTTTCAATGAGCTTTTTAGCTTTTGTCTCTGTCAACTAAAGTTATTTTATTTGTGGCAGCTAGGGTCTCATAAAAGAAATTTACTATTGTTCTATATGCTGATATAGCCTTTAACATTGAAACAAAAAAATACATGACTTTACGAGGGGGATAACTAATTTATCTGGAGACTGAAGAACAAATCATCTTATATCCTCAATACACACAAGCCCTGTTYCTGGAAAACACCTAAATGAGACCTGAGTTTCATGTAGAAAATGTTCAAATCACTCAAAGAAAAGACAGGATTGCTYAGAGACAACTCTAGAGAGTAACAGACTTCACCTGAATGCTAACACCTCACAAKAAACCAGAAAACCAACAGTCCAACTGGTCTAAAAGCCTGAACAGCTTTGAAAAGGTCATTAATTCTTGTACAGTATCATGCGACACACCAGAGTTTCATCCCACTGTCCGGAGGTGGGTGTGTTTACCGTGGTGATGGGGTAGAGGGGGTTCTGGATGGACAGCAGAAGGACCTTGTTGCCACTGTTCGGGTTGTCAGAGTTTGTCGGTCTGGTGATTCTCTTTGAGGTGGAGTAATTAAAGTAAGCCTGTTGGCCTGGTTGACACAACATAAAATAGAAACAACAGAACRTTTGGACTTGAAAGTTTGTGAATTTAACATTATTTTTCAAAACTAAAACATCATTAGTGTTACACATGATGAAGGCCCACATAAGCATTGTTCACACTACTGTTTTGTTAAAGATAGTCCTCTCCTTAGGCTACATTTGGTTATTTACACATCAAGTACCAAGCAGCTATGTGATAATGTGAACTTTCATGCATGAAGCCAGAATTGCTGGGAGTAATCTGTGCAAGAGGCAGGGGACAACCTGGACAGGTCACAAGTTCATCACAGGGGGGACACACGGAGACAAACAACCATTCACCCTCTCACTCACACCTCGGTACAATTKAGACTTACCCRTTAATCTAACATGCMTGTTTTTGGTCTGTGTGAGAAAAACCAGAGTATCCGGAGAAAACCCACGCATGCACAGGAGAAACACTGCAACCCTAACCCTGTCTGAATGCCTGCATTCTAAATACAAGCATGCATTATCAATAAATCTCATCAGGTTTCACAATGAAACAGAAGGGGTCTGTAGCAAACCTGCAATGTAAACGGGCTCCTTGGCTCCACAGGACACGCAGCGGTCGGCGCTCTCCACAGCAGAGAACTCCACCAAGGCCTGACGCTTGAAGGGCATCATCATCACATAACTGAGAGACGAGACACACAAAGATCAGGACAGGAATTACTGGAGTCAGCTGGGACTCTGTGTGTTTGTCTGTGTGAGCTTCTCCTCTCAGGGTTTCACAGAATGATTTTTTTTCTTTGTCAGCAGCAGATTGAGGCAAGGACTTTTTGCGGGAACACTAAAACATCAGAAAATAATCTGTTGCGTGTGGAAATGTCCGTGGTATTACAAAGTTAGAAAATGTACTTTTCATAAATAAATATATGAAAAGTGAAAATAACTATGATGGTAAAAACACTCAGCAGCTTTGTTTATAAAAACTTAGTGTACTGAAAACATGCAAAAAAAAAGCTGGAGTTTGATGCCAGCAACACATTAGAAAAACAGCGAAGGGGTGTGTTAAAATTTGTTTCTATAATTTTTCCTTTCAGTTGACCCTCTGGCAAGAGAAATCTGACACTAATCTCTCTGAATATAAGATACCAGCAGCTAAGCACTCTGATTTTGCTCTTCACGATGCACCACACATTTTCAGCAGAGGGCTGTGGCGCTGCAGACTCATCCCTGCGTGGACAAAAGAGTAGAAACTGGAACATTACTCGAACAAATCTGTTTGTACAAACAGTTCTTGCATGAGATCTTTTGTCTCCTTTCACTCCACGTCATTAGTTATTTTGAAGCAGTTATGAGGAACAGTGGTGAAACATAAAACAGCTACTCTGCATGTTACTCAACAGGTTGTTGGTGGCTTACCAAATAATGAGTGAGTTGATGCCACCAACCTTGCTTAGCTGGACAGTGAGAATTTGAGCAGCTAAAGGCTTTCCTCTGCCTACATTTCCCAGAATGCCATGCAGTTCTGGATCAAAGTTCAGTAAAATTATTAGTATTCTATTTGACAAAATTTTCCATTGATATTGTGTCTTTCATGTGTCCATCATGATATATGTTGTTATTGAATTATTGCCCGTTGAGATGTATCAGGATACAATAAATTCACTGTTTTCTCCTTAAGCTACACTTGCCCAGTCTGGGGTCCTGAGCTCTGAGGAACAGGTTTTTGTTGAGGATTTCAATGTTCTTTACTTCATTCAGCTTTTACCATCCCTGATCCCAGCTGCTGACAAACATCCCCACAGCATGACACTATCATCAGTGTGCTTCACAGTGGGAATAGTATTGGGCTGATGATGCCAACTGGTTTTCTTCCATTCACAACATTTAGAACTGAGGCCAAAGAGTTCCATCTTGGTTTCCTCAACTCAAAGAATCTGGTTTCTCATGGTCTGAGAGTCCATCAGGTGAATATTCAGGTTGTTTTGCTGTGAGGTGAAGATTCTATCAAACCGCTCTGCCCTGAAGTCCAGATCAATGAAGATCTGCATTTCTGATTAGTTTGGTCTCATCTCCACATTGGACTTCTGAAGCTCTGCCAGGTTCTTGGTCTCCTCTAAGACTCTTTGCCCTTGATAGCTCAGTGTGGTGACCAGCCCTTGGAAAAGTCCTAGTGGTACTAAACTTCTTCCATGTGAGAATTTTGAAGAGCATTAATCTCCTGGGATCCTTCTGTGCAGCAGAATTGTTTTTTTTAATCCAGACCCGTGTTCTCTAACAATCTTGTCTCTGAGTTTTGCAGGCAGCTCCTTCGACCTCATGGTTCAGTTTTTGCTCTGATTGTTAGCTTGAAGACCTTTTACAGAGAAAGGTGTGACTTCCCAAATCATGTCCAATCAGTTTAATTCACTGCAGGTGTGGACTCCAGTCAACGTGTAAAATTATTGAGAAGGGATCAAAAGAAATGGAAGACCCTGAACTAAACTTGAGTTGTTGTTGCAAAAAGTGAAACCCTTAGGAAAACTAGATAGTTCCGACTTTTATTTTAACAACTTAATCCAAAACTGTATAAAATAACATTTACATTGTCATTAAGTTTAGAACAATAAGGAAAAAAATATTAATGACTGCAACAACAGGTTACAATATAACAAAAATGCTAAAAGTGAAAGGAAACTGAACACTTTCAGTGTATTTATGTGGTTTTGCACAGTATCAGTACATGATGTATTTTTAATAAGAGTGCATCTGCTGTAATGTCAGAGCAGCAAATTTTCCACTCATTTTTTTACACCTCCACTGTTCGTGTGGGAATTTAGCTTCTGAGAGTCTGGATTTCTGTGGGTGTGTCATTGCAGCTTTGCAGCAACCTCTCGTCTCAGTACATCTGCCCGTGTCAGCTTGTTGTTCTCACAGTTCAGTAATACTTAGGTCTCAGATCAACCATTTCAAGAGGATTGAAGCTTTACTTTATGCTTTATACTATTTCAATTGATGACAATACCCCCTGCTAACCTGTCAACCTGGCTGATCAACATGTCTGCATTTTGCTCCTTTAACAACAACTATCAATTCCCTGAAAATGTCTTGTTAATTGCTTTATTTTCATGAACCTGTAAAGATTCTGTCGACAGTTAACACAAATGAGTATTCCTGTTCCAGCAGCAAACCAGCTTCACAGAAAACACTGAATTTATCCAGGATTAGCAGGAAAAATGAGTCCAATAGTGTCTAAGTGGCACTCAAACTCCAGACTCCCACGTGAAAACGCTTCTCACTTCCTACTGAGCTGACCAGTCACACTGCTGTCAGCGCCCAGCAGCTCGTCCTCTGACTCACTGTGTTTGAGTCACACCTGGTCACGTGCTGTGGCTGGGTGCTCCGATTGGTCCTGGGACTGCTGCCATTAACCCTCTCTGAGCAGAACCACAACCAGATTCATCTGTGCAATCTGGAAAGAAATGATTTTTACAGGCTGGATTTGGTCCAGAAGCTGGCAGCTGACAATTACTGATCGTCAGTAATGACCTCATTCAGATCTGGCACTATATCAAATGAATCAGATCTTTTCAGATTTCATTAGATCTGAAGGCTCTGTCACACTATAATGTTTTAGACAACTTGTAAAAAAAATGGCAAATACGCTGGTAAAAGTCATATAAGTTAGGTGTAAATTTGGAAAATGTTAGATAAAGGACTGGGCAAAATTGTATGGTGTGCAATATCATCAGAACTTTTGCCGTTTATTATTAGGCAGATGGTGATTAATACAATCCCAGCTCTCCTCTTCTCTTTCTTCTTTTAACCCAAATAACTGATCGACTACTTCCTCATCAAAGTCCTCACTCTGTCTGATTGTTTTTTCCTCCATCTCTGCCTTTGAGCTTCCCTCCTCAGAGTGTCCACAGCTCGACCTCCATCTCAATCAGCTGTAGCTCCACGTTCATACATCGCCTCATTGGTTTGACTCAAAGACACTAAAACTGACTAAACTAAAGACTAAACACACTAAACTGCACCCTTACTATAAAATCCAAACATGCTAAATATCAGAAATCTCTCAAATCCCACTGCTCACTCCTATTCTTGCCATGTCTCCATCATCACCGAACTTCATTCAACTTTCACATCTTTTTTTACTTCTTTTTTCTGTTGATTTTTTTTTATTATTATTATTATTATTTTTTGCCATTTGTCAAATAATTTCAGGCGTCAGTCCGCAAGGACTTTGGAGGTTTTATATTAGTTTGGTGGTGTGGGTGAGACCCACACCACCAAACTAGTGAGGATTGAGTTGATTTTTTTTTCATAAATCTGCTCCTCTTTCACTGCCTCACGATGCAATGCTTCAAATAAGGCAAACATTAAAAAAAAGAAGTGCCATAAATTATTTATCATAACTCTGGTCTTACTTGGCCTATCAACACAATTTAAAAACTGATGTAAAGTTTGAAGTCTGTAATTTTCACACAAATTAGAAAAAGATTGTTCAAGAGGCCTTTTCTTTCCCACTAGAGCAAGTTAAATTGGTAATGTGACTAAGACGTGTGTCCAGTGATTCTAAGGGATTAATTGTTATCAGCTAAACACCACAATTATTCATGATTCTTTTTTTTTTGCCAAAATCGCCCGACCCTTGTTAGATATACTACCTTCAGTTGTTGCTCTGACACTTTTATTATCGTCTTACCTACCCAACAGCGGGCAATAATACATAAATTGCATAATCTTTAGGTGCATATATAAGTAGCTCCATTTTGGATGAAAGAGAGTAAAAAAATCCAACCAGTTGATAAAAGAAATATTGGAAAGTCATTGGCGTATACATATTAGTGATGAGTATTACATTATGCTCCAGTGTTCGYTTATGTTTCTCTGCAAAACAGCTGAAACTAATTTCAACTGGTCTATTGTTGCTTATGAAGTGTTCATCAGGTAAGCCAAGAGATGTTTTGCACAAACTGTCTGTGTTTTTAGAACATCTGTTACAAATTTTACAAATGCACTTTGAACAAAGATGAGCAGGAATAACTATAGATTATACCGACCATGAGCATTACATGTTTGTCAAGAAAAAGTACTCCCCACCACGCAGCACCGTGCAGCTTTGCTTCAATGACTCCCAAATACCTTCACTACCAGCTGTGGTCAGAAGCTAATATGAAATAATTACGATCTAAACAAGTGTGGTAACAGTTAGTGCTTTCCACCACATTGTTTAATTGGCTAATCACGAATCCACACACACACACACACACACACGTTTGTTTTTATATCCTCATGGAGACCGTGGCTTGACTTTCATTCATTTTTTTTAGTAATTTTATATCCTAACCCTGACCACTTACCCTAAAATTAACCTCACAGGTACCTACCTACCTGACCCTAAAACTAATCTAAACTGAATTCACACCTTGGTCCTAAACCTAACCCCCAACCCGCAATTAGCATTGGTCCCCACGAGGCTGCCTTTTTCTGGAAAATGGTTCCTACGATGGTAGCAAAAACGTGCCCACACATACAGTACAGGCACAGTAGTGTCTGTCTCACCATATGGCTCCAAATTTCTCCAGCGCATCGATGAGGTCAGCTTCCACCACGGCCTCACAAAGACCCCTGACATGGACCACAGGACTAGGAGAGATGAGATGGGAGTCTTCACCGTTATCCTGAAACACACAGATCCAACCTCAGTAACACTGTCCACAGTGAAGCCAGATCCTGGTCCTCATGAGCCACTGCCCTGCATGTTTCAGTTGTTTTCCTGCTCTTCAGCACGTTTTGAAGTTCTGCACTTCGCCTGTCAATCATTCATTGATTCAAACCAGTCGTCAAAGCAGAGAAACTACCCAAACCTGCAAGATAGTGGCCTTCAAGGACCAAGATTGGGCACAGCTGGTTCTAACATCTCTCTTCATAATTACACAACTGAGACCAGATCAACCCTCAGTTAAAGTAAAATGAATATTTTGGACTGAAACCTGTAATATTTGATTGAATTTCTGATATTAGAGCTCTGCTGGTTTGAACTTCCTCATTTGTTATAAGAGTAAAGCTGAAGTAACTACAGTATTTTTGCACTCAGCTGCTGCAACACCTCTTGTCCAGATCCCAGGAGCCAAGAGTCTGTCTAAAATCAGACATCAGTGATATTTAATTCTAATTTTAACTTTGAGGAACAGATGTGTTCAGTGTTAAAGAGGATCCTGTCTGAAACTGAGGCTAAGGTGAAACCACCGTTATTATATTAAGGACTTTAAAAGGGTGATCCATGTTTTTATTACATCCTAACTGGATCATTGTAGCTCTCTGTATGTTGGTGTTAGTCAGGCCTCTCACAGCTGCAGTGGATCTAGGATTGATTTTAAAGTTTACTGATGACATATAAGACACATAATGGGCGCTCCTGTGTATCTGTCTGACTTGCTGCAGCTTTATGTATACTCCAGATTACTTGGGTATAATAATCATTCACTGTTATTTGTGCTGAGGTCCAGGCTGAAACACAGAGGTGCTCAGGCTTTTGCAGGTGTAGTTCTGTGGTGGAACTAATACTTTTATGTTTAAGCAAGTAATTCATGACATCCTTTAATGACCTAGGTTTTCATGACATG